AAAATAGCCGGTCACTATGGCAGGTGCCTATAGTCATAGTTACTGGGGAGGCTGAAGCAAGAGAATTGCTTAAGCCCAAGAGTTTGAGGTTCCTGTGACACCACAGCACTCTACCAAGGGCAAAAGCTTGAGACTCTGTCTCAAAAAAAAAAAAAAAAAAAAAAAAGAACTTGACTCCAACCTTAGAAACTTGTGTACAGAATTTTTTGAGGCAGCAACCCTTTTTGGTAGCCAGAATAACAACTCCTCTGAGAAGTCCTCACCCTAATCCCTGATGTGTGTAAATATGTTGCCTGGCACAGCAAAAGACACTTTGCAGATGTGATTAAGGGTCTTCCCTTTAAGATGGAGTTGACGTGCATCATTTAGGCAACTATAATGTAATCCTGAATCCTTAAAAGCAGACAAGCTTTCCCAGCTAGAGTCAGTGAGGGAACTGCGATGGCAGAGAGGGATCAGAGAAATAGGACAGGAGAGGACTTGACTGCTTCCGCTGGCTTTGAAGAGAAGAAAAGGGACCTGAGCCAAGAAACATGGGTGGCTGCTCAAAGATGGGAAAAGCCTCCAGGAAGGAATAGGGTGCTGATACCTTGATTTTAGCCTGGTGAAACTTGTGTCAGCTCTTGACTTCCAGAAATCTAATGTGTTAAATCAAATGTATTAAATTTGTGTGATTTAAGTCGTTAAATGTGTGGTAATTTTCAATGGCAATAATTGGAAACTCATACATTTAGAATCAACATGTCAGCACCAGGAGGACGTGTGGCAATGTAAGCAGCTGGCCCTATATAGGCCACTGCATCCCAGGTGGAAATCCTTCCAGGGTATTCAGTGGGTGACATAAGATGTTCTTCTTTCTTTCCACAGAGAACACCAGGAATTGGTCTTTGTAGGTAAACCTGTCTGTGCCTCTGTGGAGGTCCATTTGTTATTAACCCCAAGTTAGAGACTAGAGCTCACTGTGGGGCGATGCTTATTAGAAACATTAAAATTCCCAGCAGGTGAAATATACAGCTTCTTTCTTATAGCACTTCCAGTTCTCAGAGAAATTGAACTACTCCTGCCAAATCCCAGTCAAGTGTCCACAGCACAAAGCAGTATGTGAATGGATGTTAACATGAAAGAAAAGCTTTGTGTCTTCTTGTGCAAACTTTTAAAATGCCAGCCTGAGCAAGAGCAAGACCCTGTCTCTACTAAAAATAGAAAAACTATCAGTGTATTGTGGTGGGCACCTGTGGTCCCAGCTACTCAAGAGGCTGAGGCAAGAGAATCACTTGAGCCCAAGAGTTTGAGGTTGCTGTGAGCTGTTTTGACGCCGTGGCACCCTATCCAGGGCTGCAGAATAAGACTGTGACTCAAAAAAATAATTTAGTGTGCAAGAGACACACACATATCCATACACACATAGTGGAGCATATTATCTAAACTATATTGGCAGACAAATTAGGAATATCTGCCACCCTCTGATCTTCTAGATTGTGAGCTTTATAGGATACAATTACAAGTTGATAGTCCATTTTTTAAAGAGCTTATCATCTGCTAGACCAGTGACTTGGGGTAAAGTCTTTTCCCCACAAAGTGGGTAAGGTACACACACATACTAATGAAATTATGCTTTGGAAAATTTCTGAAAAATTAAATAGTTCCAGGGAGTTGATGTAAAGACAGGTAAAGATTTTTCCAGAGAATGATATTGGTACGATAATAGGCAATTGTGCCAAGACATGTTTTTGGTCACTAAATCCTAAGAATATGTAATATTTTGCATCTCCAGATTAAAATAGCAGTTATGTGCAGTCTATTAATAAATGTGTATGTATCTCACCCACTTTGGCTGAGTCCACAAAGGGACAACCCCTTAGGTCACAGATCTGTGACAAATAATCCATCAGCATTCCAGAGAAAACCACACAGAGACCTCCCTCTGTTGTTGGTAAGTAGCAAATGGATCCAATAGAAATAGCTCGTCATGATGCAAAGAGTTGGCCCATGTTTTCTTGCATGTCATGATGAAAGTAACACATGAAAGAAAACGACATTAACTTCTAGACTGAAGCTTGATAGGGGTCAATTTATGGACAACCCATTTTGTGGTTAAGCAAGAATCCAAAAAGATGTAACAGAGGAAAATACAAAATTCTAAGAAACAACTTGGCGCACTTTCATAATCTATGGAAATAAAATCAGTTGGACCTAAATTAACTCTGTGCCTAACATTTTACTACGATTTGAGGCACTCACTGAAATTAACTGGAAAATGGCAGAGTTATTACCAGTTTTGGGAAAGTTGCAGTGTGATCATGACTCAGAGACAGGGTGCCCCAGGAGATGGATGCCACGGCAGCCCGGGGTCTGACAGTCAGTACACAGTGAAACAGGACAGAGAAAAACTCCAAGGGGAACTTTCTTCTAAGATTGCAACGTGGCCTTTCTCTTTCTAAGATAACCTCATACTGAGAAAACACGGAGCCTGGAGGGGAATGTGCTATTTCCTTTCACTCTTTCTGGTGGACTTGTACTTCAGGGACAAAACAGAAGTGATACTTAACACAAGTTGTTGAGGGATACCAAAAAACAAAAACCCCCTTTGACTATTAAGTAACCGCGTGTGTCTGATTCCCCCCTCTGGTGTAGGAATTCACCGGCTCTGCTCCCTCCTGGAGAAAGGTGGGGAGGTAACAACGAAATTCTAAGCCTAATTAGAAGGGAAAAAAATACCTCTGTAGTAAGAAGCAACCTGACAGCTTCCGTGTGGTCAGAGAATGTTTAAGTGTGAAGGAACTTAATCCTTAAAACTTCCTCATTTTATTGAGCAGTTAGATTTAGTTGGACAAATCCGTACTGTGGCCTGGCACTGTGGAGCTTTGGGGTCGTTAGAGGTAAATAGGCTCAGCTAGGCAGGGACGGGGGCAAGGTGCGTGTAAGTACATACATCTCCGTGTAGATGTAGGGACGTAGCAGCCAGAGTTTGTAGCTTTAAGCAACAGAAAATGACTTTGGCTGATCTCAATGGAACAGCAACATACGGAATTCCAGGCCTGGAATTTCCGGGAGGGCTGAAGAATAGGCCCATGGATGAGGAAGCCCCAGCCGCACTGAATAGGTCTGTTGTTTCTGCTAAGGCCTAGAAAGTACCGTGTATATGACCGAGGCTGAGCGCTGCGTGCCTCCCTGGCAGCCTGTCACACCCCGAGCGGCTCACTGTTTGCACAGCTGCCTCTGTGCAGCCCCAGAGTAAAGCGCCTTCTGTCCCTGCTTGGCGCTTGGCGTTGCCAGCTCCTCATCCCAGGCCCCCGGGACCTGCGTCTGATCAGCCATTCTGAGTGCTCTGCCGCTTCCTTATCTGCAAGGGTGGCCGGGACTGTGACTCACTGCAGTGTTTAGCTCCTATACCGGCTGTGGCCACTGAAGTGTGGTAGATGGAATGAAGGAGCAGATTTAACCTCACAGGTGAGGCCAGCGCAGTCTCTTTCAACTTAAGCCTTCTTTTGGCTGAGTCTTTTATTGTTCTCAGTCTCGGAGTTGTTCCTCTCTGTCCTCCCGTTTCTTACCCAGATGATACCCAGGTGCACAGTAGGGGAACAGACGTACAATTACGATGTGGGGTAAAGACAGAGGTCCGGAGTGGATATGGTGCCTTCTGCATGGTGACTGGCCACCTGCTGTGGGGGACCTGGTTTGAGTCTGGCCTCTGAGCAGCAGCCTGTGCCAGGACGCTGCCCACACTTGGCATCCAGGGATGCCGAGCTCCACGGAGCCTCTTGCTTTCCGCTTCCCACTTGCTGGAGTAGGAAGGGTGGCTTTCCAGGCCCCTTTTCTATCTGTCGGGAAGTAACGTATGTCTACGTCTTGCTCTTTTTCTCAGGTATAGTAAATTTCATGGCTTCCAGTGATCATGATTATGACTGCAGTGGAGAAATTAAAAAAAAAAAAAAACACTCTGGATTAAAACTCACAAAACATCAACCCATCCAGAGGTCTCCATAATTCAGTACAGAGAGACATGGAAGGGGGACTAGACGGGGTAAAGAGGTCAGAAGACGCTTTCTGAAGGAAGTGATCCTTCTGAAGGAAGTGAGCCGGGGATCGGGGACGAGCTCGAAATAGCTGCTGATGTTCACACAGGAAGGCTTAGGGCCTGACAGGCCTCATGACAGGATTAGAGAAGGTTAGGAAGACTTTCCAGACAGCAGTGGCCTTTAACAGCCAGACTTTGGGTGTGATGGTACAGAAATTTCATCATGTGAGTCAGCAGGATCTAGAAGGTTCACTTGTTCTACAATGACGAACAGCTAGAAGACTCAGCAGAGCATGTGAGGACCAGGAGAATCCTGTGGAAACAGAGGTGTGAGGCCCCAGCGACTGCGTCTTCAGAGCCAGGAGATTAGGTTATAGGTGAAGGGATCAGAAATGGCGCTGATCACAACAGTTCCCTAAGGGGGCAGGGCCCAGTCTCTAAGAGACAGCTGTGGGGCTCAGGACTTGAGGGAGGACAGTCGCTAGGAAGCTGTTAGAAAGCCAAGGAGCAGGAGAGACGCTGAGAGCTGACATCTGGGAGCTTCCATTTCAGGTACTCTCAGGAGTTGGATTCTAAATTTACAACCTTGCCTTTCTGCAAATAAAGGTTGTGGAAGCTATGCCAGACTTTAAAACCACTGGGGGATTCTGATAACAGAACTCATTTCTGGTATTTAGAGAGTTCTTCAGAGATAACTGTTTTCTGGGGGAGTTAGAGGTGGTGTTAGACATTAGCATTCAGCTTAGAGTGAGTATCTTAAGTTATTTGTCCCTTACTTGTTTATCAGGAACATCTGCATATTGAGTGAGATGGGAATAAAATAAGGTCTTTGCCATCAAATAGGAAAGTAAGACTGTGTGTGTGTCCACACGCCCAAATAAAAAAATGAAACAAGGTTTAAAACATATTAAGAGAGGCCCAGATACAACGTTATAGAACTTATCTGGAGGGAGAGAATAGTTCTTAAGATAGACCAAGGAGAAGCTTTGTGCAGTGGAAGTGTTGTAGCCAATGAGGTTTATCCCAGGAGCAATTATTGCTAATTGAAAACCTTTCCCAATACCCCGCTGTGACGACTTGCAATATAGTCTAAAGTTGGCAACTTTTGATGGTCTCTATGGAGACTGAATAAAAAAAAAAAAAAAGACACACACAAAAACCAACCAACCAAACAAAAAATACAACAACAAGAGATAGACCAGGGAGGACTTCTTTGCATGTGTGTGTGTGTTTTAATTGAGCTTTGAAAGAAAGGAAAGATCTGAACATTTCAAGAGAGACACAGAGTATTTGGTCTAGGGAGCAAAGAGAGGAGGAGAGCTATATGAAGAACGAAATCCATACCGTTTGGGGAAATAGAGAGTCATTTGTTGTGGAAGGAATAAAACAACATAAAGGAAAGCTCAGTTCTAGTGGAGAGATGAGGGAGCCTGATGAAGGGAACCAGAACTGCTCAGTTTGGCTTGTGGGATGACTCAAGGGGAAATTCAATGCGGCTCCTGGTGGGTTAGGTGGCTGGAGCAGTGTGACACTCAGGATGAAGAGGGAGGCAGGGATACCTGGAGAGAAAGTGCAGAAAGGGGAAAAGACATTTCTCCTTTGTTATTTGCTTACCTTAGATCAATCCTCCTATTTGATTTCTGAGCCCAGACTAAGCCAAGGCATGTTTCAATCCGTTTTTCTGGGCTGTGTCTAACAGGAAATAAGAGGCTAGACAAAGATGCTACGGGAACAAATGGAGAAACACATGTTTCAGTTTTGCTTTTGTTTTTTTTTACATTATTGCCAGTTGCAAAGAAATGAAGCAATTATTGTATTTTTTTCATTTTACTAAGTATTAATTACCCCTCTGCCCCAGTTTTCTCTTTCTCGAATTTTGAACAATTGGAAACAATGATGAAAATACAGAAGGAAACTATGAAACTCAGAAATGGACAGGAAAATGGGAGAAAATATCAAGAAAGGCTCATTCCTGCTTACATTGGACAAGGCACATTTTAAGTGTATTTTAAAAAGCCAGAGCCTTTTAGACAATGAAGGGTCAAAATGCCTCCATTATATTTACTGCCACTCAGTAGCTCAGGGACAATCACCGTGCTGATGTAGAGATGTGGAGAAACTAGGCCTCACCTCGAAAGTCTTTAGTCACCTGTTCCACAAGGCAGTGAGGCATCCTCACTGCTGAGTCACCGAAAGAGAATCTGGTGGGGCAGGTTCCAAGGCTGCAGGAACCATTTGTTTGCACAGAGATCCTTTTTTTTTTTTTTCCTGTCTTGCTGACACGAGGGAGCCTTCTTTCTCCTTGGCAAACATCAAACCACTTCTATTTCCTTTCACAGAAATAGAGCCTTCTTTCCAGAAAGTTCTTAGATACACACCCCTGAGTATTCTTCTTGTTGCTTTCCCATCTGTGCCCCCTTTCTTCCTATGGTGACATTTTAGCCATTGCCCTTCTCTCCTGGTTTCGGGTGGAGAGTCTGAATTGTGGGTATTGTAGTCCTCTTGCCATTCAGGTTTCTAGTTGGGCAGCCTCGGGGCCGCCCACTTGCCTGGGTAGGCAGGAGGGCAGGTGCCTGCCTGCACACAGAGCAAGGCACGTTTGAAAAATACCTGGGTTTTGTAGCATGACTTCCATTCAGTAAAACCATGTGCCTAAGCTGAAGAAGCTGGAACTCCACTTTCACAAATGTAAGTCCTACTTTTTCAAAAATAATATTCCTTTCAATAATGATGTGTGCTGCACACCGGGAAGTTGTATGATTTCCAGAATAACTGAACAAAGTAACTGCTTCTTCCTTCTCAAGCCCTGCTTGAAAAAGGGAAGATAATGTGTGTTCTGGGGGCTTGTGAAACACAAGTGTTGGAATAAACCTTGAGGCCAAGAATAGAATACCTTTGAGACATAGTTTAGAGTAAAGGGGTTTATTCTTTTTTTAGAAAGGAGGAGGGCAGGTGCGGTGGTTCACACCTCTACCAAAACTCTTTGGGATGCCAAAGAGGGAGGATCGCTTGAGACCATGAGTTCCAGACCAGCCTGAGCAAGAGTAAAACCTCATCTCTACAAAAAATAGGAGAAAAAATTAAGGCTGTGTGTGGTGGCATGCCTCTCAGGAGGCTGAGGGGGATCGTTTAACCCAGGAGTTTGGGATTGCAGTGATCTATGATCACATTGCTACATTCCAGCCTGGGCAACAGAGCAAGACCCTATCTGTAAACAAAAAACATTTTTTTTTTTTTTTTTTTTACAAAGCAGGACTATATGCAATATTAAAACTGAAATGCAAACGTTACGCTATTCTGAGTTGCCTTAACTATGTAGAAGGTTGAAGTTCTCTGAAAATGTTAAATATTTTAAAGGCCTCCAGGAGTGTTGAAAAGACTGTGCATTTTGAAGTCAGATAAAGTTGGATTCAGTGGCTCCTCTGCTAATTAGATTTGTGACCTTTGATAAGATGTTTCACCTCATAAATCTTCAGTTTTCTCATCTGTAAAATTAGCATAACCTACCTCATTAGGTTAATAAAATGAAGTTAGCATAGTGCATTGTACTGACTAGATGGGTAGATCATGACTGATGGAGGATAACTTGGCATTATCCTAATTAAGTTTCATTAGCCTTCCAAAACACATCAAAGGGGCCAAAAAAAAAAAATACTGCATGATTTTACTTAAATGAAGTATCTTCTGTAGTCAAATTCACAGAAACAAGGTAGTAGAATAATAGTTGATGGGAGTTTGGGGGAGGAGGAAATGAGAGTCATTTAATGAGTATAGAGTTTCAGTTTTGCAAGATAAAAACATTCCGGAGATTGTTTCCACGACAATGTAAATATACTTAATAATATTAAGCATTTTCACTTACAAATGGTTAAGATGGTAAATTTTAAGTTATATGACTTTTACCACAATTAAAAAAAAAATCAAAGAACATGTACTGAGAATTCTGATGCCTCCCATTTATTAAGGTGTTCCTGATTCCTTAAAAAATGTCTTAAGTTGGCTAGGTGTGCTGGCTCATGTCTGTCATCCCAGCAATTTGAGAGGCTGAGGTGGGAGAATTGCTTGAGGCCAGGAATTCAAGATCAGGTCAAGGAAGAGCAGGATTTCATCTCCACTAAAAATAGAAACATTAGTTGGGTGTGGTGGCTTGGGCCTGTAGTCCCAGCTACTTGGGAGGCTGAGGCAGGAGGATCAATGGAGCCCAAGAGTTTGAGGTTGTAGCCAGCTATGATGACTCCACAGCACACTAGCTGGGGTGACTAAGAAAGAACCTGTCCCCCACACACACAAAAAAGGGTCTTAAGTCCACTATGGGTCTGATTTCAGGATTGACATCTGTGGTAGTGCCATGCATCTCTTCAGTGTTAGTGTCTAGTTTTTGTGTGACAATGCTAGATGACAATGACACATTCTAAGTATATTTTAAAAGTTATCTTGATCTTTTACATGATTATCTTTCATTCATAATAGTGATTTTAATATGATTTCGTGGGTTGTACACAGGATTTAGAAATTATGGAGTCGTAATGATTAGTTCCAATTTACTTGACAGCTTTAGTTACAACTCACTTAGAAAACTTGAAACAAGTATATCAATTCTTTATTTCAGTTTTCTCACTTCCCTATAGCTAATTTATTAATAAGAATATTTGTATCTGTGTATCTTTATCTTAATAAAGACTATTAAGGCAGAGTTTGTTAAAAACCACCTATTGTAAAACATAGAAACATAAAAACTACCTATTGTAAAACATAGAAACTATTGCCTTTTGGAGGGCAAAACATAATTTGGAATTCTGTTAATTTTTAAAATTGAAGGCATACCTTTGTTGAATTTTTAGAAATTTTTTTTCTTGAAGGACCAGACACGTGCTTATCTGTCAGTTAAGATCAAACACTCCCCACGGTATTTAGTGATAAGGGAGGGTGATAACAACTAGTGTTTGTGATGGGTGTGCAGAGCTTTTTTTTTTTTATGTGATATGCCATATAAATGTAAACTCTCTCGGGACTAGGTTGGCAAAGTTCACAAAAGTGTTTGAATGAAAACGAGGGAAAGCCAGAGCAGCCCTGGGCACACACCTGTAACACACTTCCCACAGGGCTGCGTGTTGGTGCTGCTGCCTGCCGTCTATGGTCTAGTTTCTCTGAGAAGTTACATTTTTTCATTTGACAAGGATTTCTAGCAACCCTACAGTGTCCTCCCTCTGGGCTGGAACTGCAGTTTAGAAGAGTGACTCAGGCACAGCCCTGGAGGGGACCTGGATGCACCGAGGAGATGCTACTCATGAACAGTCAAAGGGAGCAAGTGCGAATCTGTCTGTCACTCCTGCTTATCCTGGAGTCACTGTTTGTTAATCCCTTCATAGAAGGTGTGATGCTGGGTCTCAGGGGATTAAAAAGGAAGCCTTTGAACAGCTTTCCTCAAACTGTAATCACTGGGAAAAAAAACCTAAAAAACTTGACAACTTGTATATGAGTCATTCAAAAGCAGAGTGGAAAGTGGAATGACTTTCCAAAGCATCGAAGAAAGGTGTTCTTAGGGTGCCAGAGGACGGAGTAGTCACAGTGGACTGACTTCCAAGGACACTGTAGGAAGTGGTAGAACTTTGCCATTCCTTAAAGGATGTGCAGAGTTGGAATTGGCAGAAAGAAGTAACGAAAAATCTCTTGGACAGCAGCAGTTTCCAAATTTTGCACAAGTTAAATAATTTTAAACGGCACTTGGACTGAACAATCGGTAACATTAAAGGGGAAGTTTAAGAAAGTTGCTTTTTGTTTTTTTTACCTTTCTGTTGTTCCAAGATAAGTTATATTGTTGTTGATATGACTTAAAAGTTAGTCTAATGCTTGGTTTAAGATTTCTTTATACAACATAGGAAGCAATAGATTTTAGCAGACACAAGTATTTAGTGGAATTTAATTACTCATTTTAAATAACATTTTTTTAGAATTATTTCCTATTTACTGCAATAGACATAAGTTCTTTCATTTATGGTATTTATAGAACTTAACCTTTGAAATATTCATCTGAGCTAAAATGAAAGTGTATTTACAGAAAATACTAAATAAAAAACTGTTCAGGGCAGCGCCTGTGGCTCAAAGGAGTAGGGTGCTGGCCCCA